AATGTTGTTGAAGGATTTGAAAATACAAATTAAAAGTTTGATCCCCTGAGAGTCAGTCTCACAAAGATTGTCCTAGTTCCACGCGGCCTTGACCCTTTTTTGCAGCTAAATCATACTTTTGTCTTGAAAATTGTGTTTGCTGTCAAGATGGTGTTGGAAATTGAAATAGGGAACACCGTTAAAGAAGATTATATATTGGCGCTGTTGAAAATGGTAGAACTTTGGGAAAGTCCGGGATCCCAAAGTTCCCATGGGATCCCAAATTCTTGGGGAAATCCTTCTAAAGGGATAAGACCATTCAGGGACAAAATATTGCAGAATGAAATGAGTTTGAATATCGGATAGACTCTGTATTGGATCATCATCAGTTTCATTTGGTTTGTCTTGCGTGAAAGATCTGCTTGCAAAATCTCCTGTTGCAGAAAAACCCCTCAAGATCTCAAAAATATATCAACCTTACACTATAGGGTGTCAAGCCTGGCTGATCGTTGCTCCAAATTTATATAAAAACATCAAAAAGTTCAAAGTCAAAATCTTCAAACCATTTTCCGATTCTATTTCTAACAGATGGGTTGACAAAAAATCAGTGTGTGCAGGCAGGGGGAAGTTGGGGAAAATTTTGGCATTATTATCATTTGTTTCCTCCGATAGGAAAAATTGAACGTTCAAGGCTTGTAGTTTTTTACCCACTTGGCTTATGTTGTTCCCTCATAGAAAGAAAAAAGATATTATTTTTACAAATAATAGACTTTCTATAATTGAATTCTGAGAACAAAAATATTAATGTCCCTTTATTGTAAACCTCACATCCTTTATCCTTATGCAGTTTTCAATTGAAGTATTCATTTTTTTTCTGCAAGTAAAAAACAAATAAATAGTGTAAGCATATATGATTCTTTCTTTTCATCAATTTGTTGACATGCAATCCTAAAAATGTTTCCCTGTCTGTACAGGATATTCTCAGAGGCCCTCTAGCAGTCAAAACAGCAAAGATAACAGCAGAGTTAAAAGAAAGGATTATGAATAAAATTTGAACTACGTTTTCTTTCCTGTTTAAAAAAAGGAAGAATTGAAACTTGCCAAATTCCCGGTAAGGGAAATATTCTGCGGGTTCCCTGTCAAGTTCAGCTCCGCTGTTTTGCCGGTCTTGAATGTAGTCAGTGTTGCCGGGTTTCCGACGCCCCAAAGCGCCCCACATGTCCTCAAACCCTCCGTCTGCTGAATCACAAAAAATTCACGAGAAAAATTTTTAAAAAAACGAGCAAAAATAAAGCGAAATTGAAAATTTATTGAATTTTTTCTCCACAAACTGGTCGAACCTTTTCTCCGACTGCTGCTGCTGGAATGCAATCGTTTTCGCTTCCGATCAGCTTCTGGCTCCGCTGTGCAAAAATTAAAAAAAATTGTAAAAAATTTGTTAAAAGCCAAGAAAATTCCGTTGATTTCACTGAATAAATGTCTGCATTCAACCGGTCCTTAACGACATAATTTCCTCCTCATTATTTGAACATGCTCGTGAATGAATTCATTTCAAGTTTTTTGAACATGCAATAATTGACAAGAGAGAGAAAATTATTTCCCAGTTCTATAAATCAAAAAATAAAGTAATCAGCTTTTTAATTATCCGGTAATTCATTGCGTAATAATAATTAACTGACTTCAGTTTGACAAAAATTGAGCTGGCAACTATTTGCCTGAGGGGTTCAATATTCATTTAATACAGTACTTTAAAAACTTCATGATTCTAATAAATGGGTGGAAATTCAAGAAAAATTCTTTTCCATACCTCAAAATCTGTTTTTTAATCCAAAGATTTCTCTGATTAATTAAAATACATTTGTTACAACAGTACTGTATTTTATTTAATAATATTTGATGAAAATGGGTGTTCAAAAATATCTCTTTTGCGGCTGAATTCCATCCTCGAAAAACAATAGTTTTCATTCAACTTTATTATTCGAAATTTGATTCGATGGACTCCGATGTTACTGATTTTGGGTTCAACATTGAAAATCAATTCTGTCCTGTCGAAATTTTTTTTAGAAACCTAGCTGTTCTCCATATTTCATTCTTCCGTTTTTTCAGCATTTACGACGAAAAAATATGGGGGGGAGGGGTAATCAAATCCGAAGTTTACAAATTGAACGAGTTCATTTCGAGAATAGTTTACCAGCTGGAAAGTCGGAGAAGTCGTCATCGTCATCATCACTCCCGCCGGCGTCCGCCTGGGTCACGCCGCCAGCCAGCTTGAACTCCTCCTGCAACTGCTTGTCAGAGACTGGAGCGTCATCTGCACTCCCGCTTTGAAACTCGCTTCGACCTACGCCGTCTATCTCCGGGCTACTCCGCTCCAAGCGACCTAACTGGCCCTGGTACGATGATACAGTCGCCCCCTCCGCTTCCGTCGGCTGGGTTGCATGGGCCCGCATGCGCTGCTGGTGGTGGCCCCTCATCATCAACGACGATATCCCAGTATTGGGTCTACCTGCTGTCATGGCTGCCAACAGCGCTATGGCCAGGGCCAGCAATGCGCGTTTACAGACAACCATAACTCAACACGGGTGAAAAAGAACCTGCTTGTGGGAGGAAAAAAAATACGTTAAATTCCATTGGAGTGAATTTTTTCAAAAAATGTTGGGCACAAGAATATTTTCATGCAAACAGTACACAAAAACTTGAAAAGAAATTACGCGCGTCGCATATGCATCGCGTTTCATCAAATATAATCAAATATGCTGGCAAATTTTTTTGGCAGCAATAGGATCGTAGCCTTGAAATACGAAAATTAATCCGGAATGTTGTGTTTTTTAAAGTCTCATACAATTTGTGTTCTGAAACTTGTCTTCAACTGAAAATATTTTTTGAGTCAATGATGATTACATCGGTTGCATCAGCGTTGTACATTAATATACAGTTTGTAGAATTTTCTAAAAAAAAATTCATTTAAGGTCAAAAATCAAAATTTTAAGATTTGGTTGAAATGAAGGGCAAGAATCATGAAAGTTCTGTCACAAATGTACAGTATTCCTAAAATCTACCAAAGAATGCTACTAAAATTACTCATGAAATCGGATTGAATTATAATATTTATAATTGCTGTAATTCGAGCGTAAAATACTCATTTTCTTTGGAAGAAACTTTTTTGTTTGAAAACAACTTCAAAATATTCCTGGAAATATCCATTTGAAGTCTCAACTGCGAAACATGTACATATATATTTAAATTAATTTTTTTAATGCAACCAAAAATCTGTGAAAATTCGATGGATTCAATGAAATGGTCCTTGATTTCGAATTCTCCGAAATTGCATATAATTCGTTACTGTTCTTGAATGAGTTTTTCTTGGGAGCAGCTTTAGGTGAACCCTTGCCGCCAATCATCAAGAGAGAAAATCACATTCATTGAACAAAACAATTGAATTAAAATTCGGTAAAGTTCAAGAGACAATTATTTAAAATAAATGCGTATTTTTCGCACCCTTATCCCTTCATTTTTCTCTCGGTTCTCCTAAAGAAGGAAAAAATAATAAAAAATAAATAAAATGAAATAATCATTTGATGAATGAATTACATCGTATATATATATAGGATTGACTTGAACGAAACACGGGTCGGGTCACGCTCGAATATGTGGAACACGAAAAGTTACAGTCAATTCTGAACTTTCTAAAACGACAAGGGGTGTAATTTTCGTTCCCGAGCAGCACGCGAGCTTTTCAACTACCTCGAACATGAAAGCAATTTTCTTCACACACCAAAAAAAAGGGGGGGAGGGGGGAAAGTCTCCTTCCTTCGATGCAGAAATGCTTTCACGCGAAAAAGATGTGGGGAAAGAATAAATATAATATGTTTTAGAAGAAAGAGAAAGAAATGAACTGACGACCTACCGGTTATTTCCATTTCTCCAGCTTTGACGACCAATCCTTTTTTTTTTATTTTTATCCCCCGAAATTGCTCTGTGTATAATTTCTCTGAGGCTGCGCGTTTTATATAAAAACATATATAATGGGCAAAAAATGAAACCTCTGATAAACTCGGATTTTTTTTTTTAGAGAATTAATTGAAAATTCATTGTGGAGACTAATTTTTTGTCCCAGTTCGAGGAAGCGTATCCTCTTGGGTGAAAGTTCGAAAAATCTAGTTATTTTCAGAAAAAAGACCTGAGTCAGTTTTGGTTTTTTTTTTACAGGTGTGCGGCAATTTTGAAATGCATGCTTATGAAACTCTCGAAATCTGATTCGCCATGAAGTGTCACGCTGCCTGTCAGTGTTGCCAAACGGAAGAAGGAAGGATTGGCGAACAAGGCGGGCTTGAATCTTGCATTTTATTTTATTTTTCTTTGTGCTCCGGGGTGGTGTTTGAAAGTGGCTACAAATGGTTGGACTCGCGCATTTGCATCAAAATTCTCAATATTGAAGATTGACATTCAACTTGGAATATGTCAAAATGATACTGATCCGTATTCAACAACAACAACAAAAAAACTCTGGACAAATGATGTTGCAGAAAAACGGGGTAAATTGAGATATCAATTGAGGGGTAAAAATCCAGAGAAGGTATCTATTATTATTATCTATTATTAGGTATTTATTATTATATGTTGTGTCTGAAATTCCTCAATTCTAATCCCATGAGAGGAATGTGAAAAGATCCCCCACAGCAGCCATGGTATAGGAAAATTTTTCTCCCAAAAAGAGGAAAAAAAATTGGGATCTTTCTAGACTTCAGCTCTTCTGATCATCTCTGCTTTTTTGTATGTTTTGTAGCACAATGTCATGAAAATAAATCTCAGGAATGCTGTCCAAGGGTTATAGAAAGAAATATCAAATTATAAAAATTTTAAATATAAAAAACAGTAACATATATGAAGGTGTTCTCCATTGAGGTTGTTCAAGTACATTGGATCCCTGAAAAATAAAAATGAATCTTCTGTGGGGTCCTATTCTGTGTATGCCACAACACTCAAATGACTTTAATTATGAATAATTTGAACTTGAAAAACCTGCACCAAGATTTGGACACTGTCTGAAGATATGAACGCCATGCAAAAATGTCCCCAGAGGATTTAAAATATTTCCAAATTTTTCAATCTTTTGAAGAAATCAAAGCTAGTGATGTAAACATGAAGTCAAAATGCATCTCCTTATAAATTTAAGTTAATTTTTTTTCCAAAGCAGGTCAATTTTCATATTCTTTAATTAAGGTTTTTCCGTAAGCCATTAGTAGAGTTTTTAATCCCATTGGTTTTTTCTTCCTTATTTTGGACTCATTTTCACACAATACAAGCAAATTCTGTGTGTTTTTCTTCTGTGCCATTCATTTGTGTGCTTCAAGGTTGAGAGAAAACCTTTTCAGTAAATGTTTTGGAACACTAGTTCCATTTCTTGCCAGACATGAGAAGTGATCAATGAATATTCCCATTCAAGTTAATTAGAAATTGTGATGCAACATCCCTTTTTCATGTTATGCACACCTTCTGAAAAGTAATTACATGCAAATCTTCAAGTGCCACACAAATCCAGCATGAGTTTTGTCATCCAAAGCATTACAGGCAAGTTATCACTTGATGAATTAGATGATTTTTCCAGGTATCAGTCCACCAAGTTGTCAAAATCTTATTTGGATTTCTTTAGATAATGTCTCTTTGAATTCAATCATCATTTTTAATTAGGTTTCATTATGTATTTATTTATTTTATTGAAGGGCATAGAGTGTGATTAAAATTGGAAATACGTAAATCTCATTCAGCTTTTCTCATGCTCACTGTTTCTCAACCCATGGTCCACTGACCATTTCAGATCTGCAGAGGTTTTTTGCTGCTCCATAGGAAATGTTCTTTAGCATAATAAATTGATCAAAAGTAGCAAAGAAGTCTGTTATCTTCATCTGAAATTCTAGAAAGACAATGGCAGTTGAAATTATCTGATGAACCATAAAAGTTGATTTTTCTCTACAGAACACCCAAGACAAATCTTCACTTGCTGAAATGAATTATTGTAATTTTCCATTTTGAGGAACCTTTCTTTAAGCCCAACCTTTTAATTGTTTGAAGACATTTCATGAAATCTGCTTCTTTGGTACTCAACTTGATTTTTTCACAAAAGCAGAAGCTTTTTAGAAAACTGCCATAAAGTATTTTGATGAACACATTTGTGAGTCTGGGAAATCTGATGAAACATTCCCAGTCTGCAGACATTTTTATGGAAATTTGCCAGTCTGTGAACAATTTTACAGAAATTAGCAGGAATTTTTCAAATACCTGCTACAAAGTCTTTCAATCAAAAGTTTTATGAGTATGAAATTTTTTTTTTACAACTTTGCCAGTCTGCAGAATTTTTTTTTTTCTGGTCTGCAAAAATATCATGGAAAATCCCAAGTCCATGGGCCCAAAAATTTTGGGGAACTCTGGTCTAAAAATAAGTACTTACATGCAGATCTCTGAGTACCACTCAAATCCAGCATATGAGCGTTCTTGTCCAAAACCTCACTATAAAGAGTTATTCCTTGCAAACAAAAATCATTCCTTATTTTCAGGTCTCAAAATGTTATCCAAATTACATTACAGTACTTCATATAATAACTCCCTTCTTTGTCCTAAATCTAATACACCTTCCCTCACCCTGATGCTGCATGGTCCCCCCAAATGGCGTCATATATCAACATGGCAAAATTTTACCACATGTTTCCTGATTTCAAAATTCACGGACCCACTGATGTGCATATATGAGGCACCACTCCCTGTAAATTGGAACAAAGTGTCAACAGACAGGAAATAAGAAGAAGACTTTGAAAAAAAAAAATGATGAATTTGAGAGGAATCCTGGCTCTGTGGCACACTGTCTAACCAGGTTGAGGTGCAGCGACCGACTGACCACAGGGGCTCGCGCGAGGCAGGCAATGAGGCACCAAGGGGGGGGGGGGGGATGCCACGCATGCGCCACGCGCGGTCATCCGGAGTAATGATCCAGCCAAGCAGCAAGACAATAAGTGGGAAGGAAAGAAAAATGTTGGAAGAAAAGCCCACCGAAGAGATGAGAGAAGCGACGCAGGATAAACACCCATAAACACACACGCACATGCACACACAAAAAATAAAGAAACCCATACTGTGAGAAGAAAAATAAATTGGTACAAGAACTTTTATAACAACAAAAAGATTCCCCATCCTCAAAAGGAACCTCTCCAGGAGAAGCACAGGTCCTCATCATGATGATGATGATGATGATGATGATGATGATGACTATGGGGAATCATCATCATCATCACAATAGAATAGGGACCAATATTTCATCTCTCCTTCTCGTGAACTTTCTTTCTCTGTCCTCTTTGGCTCCGCTTTCTGTCCATAACACGTGATTCAGTACTTTTTTATGGGCGCCAACCGGAGCTTGGATGCCCAGAAAACTGAACTAGTACAGGCTCTGTATAGAACTTATTGAATTCTGAAATCAGTGTAGATTTACTGTTAGATTATTTTCTGGATGATCTTAAGTTTATACAGTACTGTATATAGTGGTACCATCTGAGGGCTGGTTTATAAGTTTGGCCAGTCTTTTACTTCCTGTCCTGATATTGGAGATGTGCAAAGTTGGACAG